TTTCTGGTATAAGTTAATGAGAAGACTGCTACTGATCTCGCATCTGTCTGGTAAATACAAGGCTACGGCCACGGGTCTATTTGCTTTTTTTGGCATACAGACAGGAATCATTTAGCCTGTCCAACAGTACAATCCACCCTGCAGTGATTCTAAAGCTCACTAACATGTGGTATCTTGTTTGTTCAAACCATGCAACAGTATTAAAAACAATTTGCTGTATAGGAGGAGAAGGAAATAAAGATTTACTCATCCTTTTCTCCTCTGAGCGGAGGAGGAGACACGAGGACGGTCAACAGAAATGTAACTAAATGAGACACTGCTGCCTGAATAACAGAATGACATTTTATGATTAACTGACGTTTATTACAAAGTTGTCAGTCCTGCTCCCAGCATAGTTTGTATATTCCAGCTGTGTGTCACACTTCTTTTATGTTATGGGTGCAGAAAAAATATTAATACACCGGAGTATCACCGTTTTTGGAATTGAGGTGCCCTTCAATACGACTGATTTCTGTGTCACCGGCTGGAGGACCGAGGAGTCCAGGAGGCTGAAATTAGTGAAGCGTGATGAGAGTGGGACTGATGTTTTCATCAAACTATAAAAAGTTCCCTGAAGTCTAGTTTGGCCTGAATTTGTTGGAGGCTTCTCACACAGTGAAACCAGTTCTGCTTTAAAATGGTTCTGTTTCTTTGACCTCAGTGCGGAGCAGATCTGACGTAAAATACAATTTAACTTCGAGCAAATGTTACCGTCCAACATTACCTGCAGCTGACTAAAACTGTTGTTACTGTGTAGCTGGCATGTAAATCATCTCCCACAGTCATGTGTGAGACAACTAATTCAGTGAAACAGTAACTCTGAACTGCCCATATAAGCTGTAGACGGAGCCACAGCTGCCTCATGCTCCTCATGTTTCACTATTTTCTCACATGGAGGATGAATCTTGGTTTTTATCTTCAGAAAATATGAGTGTAGTTGTGTAGTAAGAGTAGCAGCAAGAGCAAGAGGAGGCTGAGGTGAAGCTGTCCACCAGCATTCAGGCTCTTTTCAGCTGGTTTTGGTTTTAACCGATTAAAAATGTGCTAATTGTGATGGACCTGAACATAAAAACATCAATAAATTGTCTTACTTCTACATGTTGGTACACTTGTGTTCCAATCAGTTTATTCTCAAGTCGCCAGTGGATCAGACTGACAAAGAAAACTGAGCAGCATCGTAATGTGTGAGACAGAAACTGGAGTTTGTCAAAGGTGAGCATGTCCTGCTGAGGACACAATGACCTCAGGTGACCTTCACACATCTTTAAGCTCTACACTGTCAGAAGGAATAAAAGTAATTGTACATCTGGAATCATTTGATCAAGTTTATTGATTAGCACTACATTTTTTCAGCGAAGATTTGTGATTTAAAACTGTGATTATTTTCTACAAAGTGTAAATCTCGTTGGTGTACCGAAAAATCTTCATATGGTCATCGTGATTGACAATCTCATTAATTGACAATATTTAATTCTGGTATTTTTCAGTTTGTATATGTAACTATAGTCACTCTGACTGGTGAAAACCTGAGACAACCTTTGAACACTTTCTCATCTCATTAAGTCATTTCCATAAATCATTTCAGTTGCCTTCCTCTTAGTGACTGAACAGAAATACAGTTATGACTCCATAAATGAGGTACTGTAGATAACTGTACAGGAATCTTTAATAAGAACTACTACTACTACAATACTACTTACAACCAGTCAGCTAATCAAGTAATCCGTTGTGTTAGCAGCAAACTCTTTGGAGTAATATCATTTCTAAATACATGGATTTCCCTTCACAGGAGGAGGCAAAGCTTGAGTCACAGGAAAACTCCCTTTCTCACACCAGCTTTTCTGTGTTTAATGTCTTGTAGGTTTAATTTTTTACTAAATTGGAGGTGACCTGTCCAGGGTGTCCCCTCTGCCTTCGCCTTAAGTCAGCTGGGATAGACTCCAGCCCCCTGTGACCCTAGTGATGGATGGATGGAAATGTCTTATTGTCAAACTGGCCCTAGCCTGACTGCTATTCTCTTCTTTTTCACAACAAACTTGATTATTCTTTTGAGGCAGACAAACTCTGGTATGAGAACACGACCAATTGTAATTGTAGACCTTTTTTTTCCCCAAAAAAATCCAGCTTCTGCTTCATTTTCCTACACATTAATTCACTGGTAACCTACAAGTTGCTCTTTAATATTCTTGTATAGACATGAAAACATCTCAAGCAGCATTTAGAAATGTGTAACACTGAAGACCAGACTGAGGTTCCTTCCGGTTTAGCAGCTGCTAAACAACAACTAGCCGATAGATGCACAGGGACAGCTGTTATAGTTACAGTAAAAATACTCATAGTGTTACTGAGAACTTTAGCCTATATATCAACTATATCTCCTTCAGCCAATTACTCCTACATTTCCCACAATGCCTTTTCAAACAGTATGTGTTTAGTATCTTTCAGTAGGCGGCCTGTTGTGTTCACTGCACTGGTAAATAGTCTGTACTTAAACAGCACCTGCTAACTAGAAGTGCTTTACTGTGTGTTTCTCATTCACTCACACAGGTGTCTGACAGCCATTTAGAGCAGCTCAATTTTGGTTCTAATTTTACATAAATATGGCTTAAATATATGTTTTCTTCTTTTGATAAGTCAGAAATCGTGAACAAAAATACTGTCTACAGAGGGGACCTAAATCACAGTCCACTGTGCAGGACTCAATTAACCAACATTACCATATGAAATATTCATTCAAGTCCTGCTTAAATGTGTGGTTTAGGCATGGCTTTAAATTACCAGGATCAACGACCTGCACTGTGGTCTCTCAGACTTTGTTCTTCTGATGGCAAAAAGTCAGATGTGTAAAAGTCAGCTCAGAGGAAAGAGGTGGTCCTCACAGAGGGGCCGAGTGCTTTCTTGTTCAGAAACAGGTCACACTTTCAGCCTCTTCAGGGAGACGTGGATGGTGCTGCATTTATTTGTTAACGTAAAAAGTGCCACAAATAGTGGCACGACAAATGTGAGAAGAAAAAAAAAAATCTAGAAAGAGCAATGCAATGCCTTGCTGCTCTCTCATGACCATAACAGAACAAGAATCCAGTTTGAGGGCACAAAAACTCAAAAATGAACCAAATCGAAGCTGAACTTGTGATACTTCATCAAAGCTTCGACATGTCTATGAACAAAAAATACATAAACTGTTTGCTAAAATTCTGGGTTTTCAAAAAAAAAAAACACAGAACTGGGCTGAACTGCAGCCTGTGTCCACACAGAGCAGATAGGAGACGTGTATGGAAGCAATTTAAAAACATATTAGTAATTAGAAAACAGTTGTACATGTTGATCCTAGGTTTGAAACGTTTTGCAATAATGAAAGAAATTTTAAGTTACTTTTTTGGCCTTTGTGCCTTTATTTGATAGCGCAGTGAGAGAGAGAGACAGGAAAGTGGGGAGGACGTGTGGGAAAGGGCCATGAGCGGGTTTCAAACTCATGACCTCCACATTGGGGACTACAGTCCTACAGCTCAACCAGGTGAGCTATAATGGCGCCCCATAATGAAAGAAATGTAACTTCTTTTTATTTTCTAGCCATGGCTGCTCTGCTTCCACAGAGGTGCAGGACTTTATATTGCAGTGAACAATGAGCCCACAGTCAGCAAAACTGTGAAAGGAGCAAAAACACTTAGAAAGTGTTGCCAGTCAGACGGTTAGCTTCTAACTGGGGAAGAAAAAAAAAAAACGTAAAATAAGACAAGCCTTGTGCTCTGTTGTAGAAAGGGGCCAGTTTGTGTTGAAGCTGATCTACATTCAGTTGGCCTAAAAGTTGAAGCTGACAGTTGTTATTGGCTCTTTTGTTTTTTTTAGTACTACTAATCAGCACATCTACAAACTACAAGTTAAAAGCTCCTGTTATTCTGGGCCAGTGATGCAGCAGCTTCCTGTCCAGTCACATTATCACTGTCTGACAACATTAAAGTGTTTGTATAAAATAAATCCAAAAGTCCGCAAAGTTCAAACTGACATTCGCTGAGTTGTCGACTGACATCAACACTGAAGCAGAGTGAGACGTATCAGTGTGAACAGTAACTGCTGCAGTAGCTTAGTGATCAGGGAAACAAAAGCAACTTCTCAAAATATTTAAACCTGTAAAAATGTTTTTAGTCTGGCAGCAGAAAAAATCTTTACATTTTCGTCCTTGTTATCAGGTAGGCACACATCAGTCTGAGAGCACATCTCCCTTTTTAAAAAATAAATAAAGTCCGTATGTTCAGACAGTTTCAATGTGCATCATGCACACTCCACTCAAAAATATTGAAATCTACTGTGTGTTGGTCTCCTGTTGGATGAGTCTTAAGGCATTCTGGAGGAAACTGCTTTAAAAAAAAAAAAAAAAAACAGATTGCAGCCTCAGTAATGCCTCTCTGGATCACTTCAAGCAGACTGTGTACAGAGCCTGAAGGTTCTCAGAAGGAAGATTTCTGAAAAGAGCACCCACTGAGTGATTTTGGTAAGAAATGACTTCAGTTGTGTCCTTGAATGAATAAGTCCTGCTTCTAAATGTTCCTAGAAATTGATGACAGGAAAGTACTAAACTGCTGAATGTTTTTTTTTTTTTTTTCCACCCCCCTCAAAAAACTCTGTAAAACCGAGCTAGCAGAGAGAGGGTTTATACAGCTGGGATGCATTTTGCTTTTCTTAAACTTGAGCTTTACACGGCCTGCTGTTTTTCCTGAGTGGAGCTAGTCCCTTCGGCCTCCCCTTCCCGCTCCTGGTTCCAGTCTTTAAGGCCAGCTGGCAGGCTGGTGTCCTCTTCGAAGCTGCCAGTCCCCTCCACAAACTCCTCGTATGTTGACTTCTCCTCAAAAGGCCGTGGGCCCAGCAGCTCCAACATGTCCGCTTTGTCCAGCACCTCCTTTTCTAGCAGACGGGTCCCCACCTGAGGATGACATCATAGTTCAACATCACCGATAATAAATACTTCTACCTGCATGAATCCTGAATGTCCAACATGTCGACAAAGACGACTTCTGTAGACCTCCCTACTGCTGCTACCACTGGCCAGGTGTTTTTACAGTCAGGGTTTTTAGACACAAGGCAAACTTTGTACATGAAAAAATAACAGCACATGCCTAACAAGACAGGCAAGACTTCCACCTCCAGATCTGACTGCAGTAGGAACACAGTTTACCTATTACTATGACCAGATGCAAGATTCACTGATGTTTTTTAAAATATTAAACACTTGATTTATTAGCAGATGATGTAATATAATTTATTGGAATGAAATGTATCCCGATTGAGGACAGTGGTTCCAAACTAGGGGTCTGACAAAATACAAAATATAATATGATTAAATGGTCTATATTACAAGGTAAGCTTGCAGTGCAAATGGCTGTCTTAACATCCCAACTTAGTAGCAGAATGGCTGGTAGTGTTCTCTGTCCACCAAGAGCTACCAATACTTTGGAGAGTAACTATCAGAAACATATTTCTTTAATTTCTTTGAGCTAAATGTTAAGTTTGCCAACTTTTAATGCCGAAAAAGTGATCTCCTGTGGTAAATGCTAGCAGTTGCTAATTGGGTTAATTAAAGGGCAATGACAAATAATTTGAGAGAATAAGTAGTTCGTTACAGTTATAAGAGTTGTTAAAAATGCTGTTTCATACATTGGAAGCTTCAGCTTCAAGCTATAAAGGAAAGTAATTCATTTAAATATTGTGGAAGTATAATTTTGAGTTGTATTAAAAGCTAAAGTGCACTTGTGTTTTGTTGTAACGCCTGTACATTAATGAACAAATGAATGCTTTGTGCTGTTTGTTACAGTTTCACCTTTCCTTGCATCAGTAAACCTGTGGACTAAGAGTCGTGTCTTCAGAGTCTTTATCTTTGGAATGAGTTTAGCTGACTGCCCAATGATAGCGGAGGCAGTGCAGTCAAACAGTGAGAAAAAAAAAAGAAGGTTTTATGTCTTTTTATACAGTGTATGTAGAGAGTCCTGAACACATAAGCAGTCGATACCACATGATATATTACAGAGTCTTACCATCTCCACTAGGTCCTTTTTGTCCTTGACGAGCTGCAGGGTGTGCTCGTACGCTCGGTCTACCAGCTCCCTGACTTCCTGGTCTATGAGCTCTGCCGTGGCCTCGCTGTACGGCTTCTCCATGACCAACTCACCCTGCCGTGGAAGGTCAAACGACACCTGCCCCACCTTCTCGCTCATCCCAAACTGCACCACCTGGGAGTCAGGATGCAGAGTGAGGTCTCACAGAACAAATATGGCTCTTTTTTTTAATAAATTTGACAGAACTGGTGGATCCAGCAGGTGTGTGCGTACCTGAGCGTAGGCGGATTGTGTAACTTTCTTCAGGTCGTCCTGAGCTCCGGTGGTGATGCGGTCGAAGAAGACCTGCTCTGCCACTCGGCCTCCGAGCATCATACACATCCTGTCAAACAGCTGCTCTTTGCTGTACAGGTACTGCTCTCTGGGCAGGTACTGAGCATAGCCCAGACCTTTGCCCCGTGGAATGATAGACACCTGGACACAAACAGAATGAGGTTGACAAACATTTTGTTTCTACACATTGCAGGGCAGCATCATCAGTAATAGTAATGATAATAGTAGTAATGCAGTCGCAGTGATGGGAGAAGATTTTAACCTTTTATTATTATATCAAGAGCAGTTTAAATTCAATTTAATTACTGCGGTTTAAGATGTTCCATGTTAATATTGTAAAGTGAGCGATGGATTATTTGTTAAAATTGTGCTTTTTACCTCAGAATGACGATGCACACCAATAAGCTTGTGTACAGTAAAGACAGTGAGTCTTTGGGAGTCTTATTTGACAGAAATCTGAGCATCATCCTCATATTTCGGACAATTTGATAAACAAAACTGTCTATGTTTGACTAAATGAGACTCAAGTTAACAACACTGGTTAAAAAAAACTTTTATTCTTATTCCCAGTTCTTATTATGTGGTGCTGGCTGAAACCACTTTGAGGGGTCACTAAGAAAATCTCAGTGCAGGAAATACTTTGTACCACAACATCAGCTTATTCACATCACTTCACAGCCCTCACTGAAAACTGGATGTCATTTAACATTGCTAAAGTTGATACTGTTATCATAGTTTTTCCATATATATATTCCATTTATACTTTTACTCCTTACAGGGGCAGAAAGGATTTATTTCTACATTTTAATAACATATTTAAACATGTATTCATTATTTTCTGCTCTTTCTACAGTGGACCCATTTCTTTTTTCCTCCACTATTTCATTATACCAATTTTTAATCTGTGATCAACATTTTGCTTCAGTTTCTGATGTGACATTGATTAAATGCATTTTGGTTCAGTACTACAACTGAAGATTATTTTCATGATCAGTTATTGTTTCATTTTTGTTAATCCAGTACCTGTTTTATTCTTAAAATGTCAGAACGTAGCAAGAAATGCCCATTTGTTGTTTTGGCTGCCCAGTATCCCAAAGCTTCACAAGTATATTGTGTATTATCATGTCAAGTGAAGAAAAGCATTCAAATCTCACACTTCAGAAGTTTAAGTCAGCAAATGTTCACACTATTAGGGCTGGACCCGAATATCCAAATAGCCGAAAATTCAGTCATTGTGGTTCATTTTGACATGCGTTGCAGACGTTAGCAGTGTCCGTGTCATTCTGAACATTCAGGATATAAAGAGTTTACCTTGAGCAGGGGGTCAGCGTGCTGCAGGAACCAGCCGACGATGGCGTGACCAGCCTCATGATACGCTACAGTCTTCTTCTCTGTAGGCTGCAGGACTTGAGTCTTCTTCTCCAGACCTGAAAGCAAAAAGACAAATCAGAACTCTGACTTCATGAACTGATATCAGAAAGATACTTTCAGATGGTAGCACTTTACTGCTACTGTCTCTTTTCTGTTATTATAAAAAAAATAAAAGGCACTAATATAAGGAACAGAATAAAAGCAAAATCAATCATAGAACACAGTTAACATAAAAACAGGTCAAATAAGCAACAGCAAGAGAGTGATTAGGCTGACTGACCTCCGATGACCCGATCAATGGCCTGTTCAAAGTGTTTTCCGTTGACAGATGGGTGCAAGTGCCTAGCAGCGATCAGAGCAGCCTCGTTGCAGACATTAGCAATGTCAGCTCCTGATGCATTTATTCGCAGAGAGAATAACAGCCATCAAGCAACATCTCAAAATTCTGACTCGTCTGCTGAAACACTAAACACGTTACTTTATGCTGAAAAGTGCACTTTATATATTTTCTCTTTCAGTGCAGTATTTTCTGAAACACCTTTAAAAGATTGATTTTGTCAAGATGATCATAGCAACAAATAAAGATTCTACCAAATGTACTAAATAGTAAATAACAGAGTTAAACTTGGATTTTCTTGGTAAGTTAAATCAGGTTATATAATGCAGTTGTTACAAACCAGTGAATCCTGGTGTGGCTGCAGCCATTTTCCTGGCAAGAGTGTCTTTGTCAATATTGGGGTCCACTTTGATAGGTCGCAGGTGGACTTTAAAGATGGATGCCCTGCCCTTGATGTCTGGAGGACCTGAGGAGCCACAGCAAAGGTTTATATGCCAGAAAAGAAACTCTTATCCCTTTAAATCCTACAATGTAAAACACATTACTATACGTTTCATCCATCAGCTTTAACATATGAACACACATTCCAGCCCATGACGGTGAAACAATACATATTTTCGATAATAGTTCCTCAAATGGGTAGCAGTAATGCACCAGGAAACACAGTTATGCACCAGTAAAGGCAGTGAGGAAGATGTTTTCCTGACACTTATTGGTGTAACAAAAACATTTGCTAGACCTTCAGAGTACATGTAGTCAGCTTGCTCTCGTGCTCTGACGGTATTAAGAAACCTGGTTACTACCATAGACTGTATAAAAGATGGACGTAGCAACTGGCGCTGAAAAATGAAGCCAACCCGGAAGTCTCAAAAACCTGCAATATCACTACGTCCGCTAGTCCTGGCTCCAAAAAGCCCTGGCTCCCATAGACATGAATTGGAAAAGAAGTGATCACAGATCACGAAATACTGCATTCCTCCAGCTCAGGATTTTTTTTCTTATTAGTTTTCATAGTCAAATCCAGAGATCAGGTGGCCAATCTGAAAATAAATCAATACTGAATTTTGAAAAAATCTTCAAAATTTTGCGGGGCAAGGGGCGTGGCTGGCTTGATTGACAGTCGGCAGCGACGATGCAGATGAAGCGAGCGGAAGGCGGTAAATGTGGGCGGGCAGAGAGGGCCTGCCTCTCAATCCGTCTGACCAATCGCTGCTCCTATGGCTCCGCCCCCCTCCGACGATTTTTGTATACATGTAACAAGGCAAAAACTAATCAGGTGTCCATCAAACTAATTTTAACCAAACTTCCACAGTCCTCCCCGTGCCCTTTACTTCAACTTCACTTCAACTCTCTCCTTACCTATGTAAATCTGTCTGTCAAATCGTCCTGGTCTCATCAGGGCAGGATCCAGGATATCAGGTCTGTTTGTTCCAGCCAGGACCACCACATTAGTCGAAGTGTTAAAACCTTCAGAAAATAGCAACAGACAGTTAACTCTGAAGACATCACATTGGTCAAGAATCAGACTCTGGTTCCTGTCCACCTTACCGTCCATCTCCACCAGCAGCTGGTTCAGGGTGTTCTCCTGTTCACTCTGACCCCCAAAGTTTCCTCCCCCTCTCTTCCTCCCCACAGCATCGATCTCATCAATGAAGAGGATGCAGGGGGAATTCTTCCTCGCCATGGCGAACATGTCCCTCACCTTCAGAGGACAGAGCTCAGTCAAGCATTCCCTTTCTAATTAGAACAACTACAACAGTCCAATATGTGTTTAATTGGGTTTCCTTTGCTCACCCGAGCTGGACCAACGCCCACAAACATCTCCAGGAACTCGGAGCCATTGACAGTGATGAAGGGGACGTTGGCCTCTCCAGCTGTGGCTTTGGCCAGCAGAGTCTTTCCTGTCCCAGGAGGTCCGGACAGCACAGCACCCTGGTATAATAATTATTCAAGTATTAACTCATGTGGACAGTGAACTGTTCAGAGGAGTTTGCACTTTTTTTCAGTGACTAATTTAGTTGCTGAAAATGTTTCGTTCCATGTTTCCTGTCTTCTCTTCAGTTGACTGCCTAATAAAGAGCAAGAATGTCCAAAAAAACACAAAAAAACATCTTTATTAAATATTTAGCCAACACTGATCCAAATCAATCTTCTTCCTGCATATATTCTTTAAGAGTAATTCTTTGTATTTGGACTCTTGATTGAATATTATAGGAAGATGTATGCACTGAATTCTTCATCTGGAAATGTGCTCAACATTTGCATGACACAATTTTGAAAATTTAAAGACAATTATTATTATTATTATTTTTTTTAGGTTTCCTACAAGAGAAATGAAAGTTCCACTTCCAGAGAACTGCTACAAAAACTCCATAGCTCACCAATATGCAGTGGTGGAAAGTAACTTAAACCTTATACTTGGCACATGTAATTAACTAAAAGGTACTTTACGTGAGTAAGTATATTTCTATCCCCCTACATTTCTTGGGCTCATATTGATCTTTTTATTCCATTGCATTTTTTTTTCAATGCTTTAGTTACTTTGAAAATTCCCTTTAAGAATGCAACAATAACATCAACAAATAAATTGGGATATACAATTATAGATTAAGTGACCAAGCAGGACATTAAGTAGTCTAAAATGATCTACCTTCACCACCTGCAACATTAAGGCTGTAGCAAATATAATATGTTAAAGATTAAAAGATAATAATGTGTAAAAGACCTCACTATTTAGAAGGGCTGTTCTGTATAGTGAGGTCTTTTTGCTTTTGGTGCATTACATTGATTTTGATGCTGAATAACTTATTTGTACATATTTTTATTTTCTAGGCTGTGGTAGGAAATACTATACTATAAAGATGTGAGTATATTTTTCAAGACTGCACTTGCTGTCTACATTTTTTTAAACCTTTACATCTGTTGTAGTGTTGTTTGGTAACACAGAACAGGAACGAGACCAATGCTAAATTCAACACATGAAATAAATCTGAAAGACCGACTGCCTGATTTAACAACGTCATTAATAATGAACAGCACTGAACGGCTGATCGTGGATGTCTGAGGTGCATTTCAATCCCAAATTTGAAAGTTAAACAAAAACAGCAATATATCAAGTAATTTAACATAAGATGCATATTTTCTGCAATGTGCAGTCAGTGACTTAAAAATTTCTAAATATCAGGGCACCCCGGTAGCTCAGCTGGATGAGATGGTGTCCCATAAGTTCCCATAAGCTATAGTTCCCCAACGCAGCGGTCGTGAGTTTGAATCCCACTCACGGCTGTTTGCTGCAGGTCTCTCGCCATTCTTCTCCCCCCTTTTTTTTTTCTCTCTCCACTGCTAAAAATATTAAAGGCAAAAAAGAAAAAAGAAAAATCCTAAATATCAAAAAATTATTTCATTATCAAAATTTAGTTGCATCAAGATTACTATCTACAAAAAAATGGCTAATGGAAACAAAAAATTAGCGGTCAAGTTACAGCAGAAAACAAACTGACATCTGATTAAAACAGAACCTAATGAAACTTTTTTTTATATCTTCTTGCAATCTGTCTTTGCACCCCTCTTAGGTCACTTTGTGTTTCATAGAATGTTCCTTTAGAACTCTTCTATAGCAACCTCAACGTGGAGATTTTTTAAAAACCCTGTTTCTGTCACGGTCCTGCTGTAGTGCCCTGGAGCCCTGTGCGTGCCTACATGCGTGCTAACCTTGGGGATCTTGGCTCCGAGGTCTTGGTACTGCTGTGGGTTCTTCAGGAAGTTAACAAACTCCAGGATCTCCAGCTTGGCCTCCTCACAGCCGGCCACATCCTTAAACTTCACCTCAGTGCTGTCCTTCTTCATCTTGGCTGTCGACTCGCCTATGCTAAAAGGGCTCCTTCCACCGCCGGCGCCTCCTCCCAATGGTCCTCGCCTCAGCGTGAAAAGCAGGAAGCTTATCACCAGCAGCGTGGGGATCATGCTCATCAGAAAAGTGCTGGGAAGGTGCAAAAGGACATCAAAGGTTATCACCATTTTCATAAAAGCTCAAGCAACTGCGTGTTTCACTGGAGATATGATGAAAGCGACTGGCTCGCATAACACATCCTGCGTTTGTGTTTTAAACTTACCCGTCGCTCTCAGAGGTGTAGACCACAGCGGGTCGGTTCGACGGCTCCAGACCGAGCTCCATATGTGCCGCCTCGAGGTTTCTCTCGAACGTGTCGACGCTGCCAATGTTGAACCAGACGTAACTCTGAGGGTCACAGAACATCACATTTCCTTCAGTTGAATAAATGCAGCAAACAAGCAATAAATGAGCAAACTACAACACAGCTTTCAACAGAAATCTGTATTTAGACATTTTTTTCAAGCAAAAGCGCAAAATAAGTGATTGTTTACCTTGTTTATTATGCAGTCAAACAAATACACAGAATCTATTTCTGGATTTTGGATGGCTGTAAGGACACGTCTGTACAACATTAATCTTGGCTACATTAAACGGACAAGTTTTACACCGCTGTACTGTTTTTGAGGCCAAATGATTAGTTGATGAGTTGAAGAAGAGCTGCCAGATGAATCAAGAAAAAAAATAACATCCTGAGAATCGCAAGATGAGATGAGGGCCACAATCCTGCATGTTTTAGATGCTTCCCCTCTTCCAACACACCTGATTCAAATGATCAGGATGGTTATCAGGCTTCTGCAGAGCTTGATGATGAGCTGATGAGCCTGGGTGCAAACTTTGCTATTGATTCTACTGCCCAATTAAGAAATTATCATTTGTTGTTTTTATTTTATTTTTTTAAATTTAATTGTATTGTTTTATTTATTTATTTAATTTTTACATTCAGCCTAAAAAGCCATTTTCGGCTCCCTGGAGAGTCTGCCCCCGCTGCTGAAAAAACCCCTAGAAGAAACACTGGCTACTGGTCTTATTTTACAGGTTTCAGTAACTGGGTGTGGCAAAATGCAGCAAACACTCACATAAATATACATCCATCCATCATCTATACACCTCACTAGGGTCGCAGGGGGGCTGGAGTCTATCCCAGCTGACTTAGGGTGAAGGCAGGGGACACCCTGGACAGGTCACCAGTCTATCACAGGGCTACACTTAGAGACAGACAACCAAGCACACTCACATTCACACCTACGGACAATTTAGAATCACCAATTAACCTCAACATGTTTTTGGACTGTGTGGGAGGAAGCTGGAGAACCCGGAGAGAACCCACGCTGCACGGGGAGAACATGTAAACTTCACGCAGGGACGCGAACCGGCGACCTTCTTTGCTGCGAGGCAACAGTGCTACCAACTGCACCACCCTGCAGCCCCCATAAATATACAGATGAGCGAAAAGTTTGAGCTCTGAGAAACATCCCACTCACCAATTCAGCATCAGCTCCTGGCATCAGGATGACCCTGACGTACTGTTTGTTGATAACTTCCAGCCGATCAACCTGGACGAAGAATTAAGTTGTTAACTTAACAAATGTATCAAGGATAGTCAACAATGAGGAGTTTCAAACTGTCAGTGTTCAGGCCTTCAGCAGCAGTGAATCTTATACAGTTCAACACAGCAGTCATTATACCTTTTTTTTTAGATTTAGAGATGTTCAAAATTAACCCCGCTGACAAAAAACTTTTACACAATGTCCTGGCATACATTGATGTTACATCATGAATGTATCAGTCCGAACACTTCAGAGTGCTCCTCACCACGCCTCTGCCCAGGAAGCGATTGACAAAATCCTTCCAGCTGATCTCTTTGCCGGTGTCTCTGAAGTAGAAGTAAAGCAGAGCTGAAGTCACCCCAGCCACAGTGATCACCATGAAGCGGAAGTCGTTCTCATCCCAAGGAAAATCACCCTGAAAATCAACACAGGCACAGATGGATGCTAATGCTACCAACAGGCTATCAATCACACATGTCAGTCATCATTAAGGTGATGACACATAGGTGAAAGATCTGATCATCTTCTTAAATGGTAATATCATCTGGTTTATTTCCTTCTCAACGACAGTGAAATGAGTAACTTTAGGTTGCAGACAAAACTGGAAATTGTTTTACACCAAATACATTCATATCTAGTATGTGGCACAATGTAGCACATACAGAACATAATACTTTATTTTGGTCTGGTCTGAGATGCTGGTGTCATATCCAGTGGTTCCAAATGTTACACTTACAGGAGCTTCCAGTTATACTGTAGCTGTGATTTATGAGCTCAGTGTAAGAGATTTCATGATTTACCTTTTGCATTCGACTCCACCAGTCTTTTCCTCCTCCTCCTCCTTTCTTTCCTCCGCCTGGTTTTCCTCCTCCTCCATTCGCTGATCCTCCTCCATTTGCTGATCCTCCTCCTTTCGCTGATTCTCCTCCATTTGCTGATCCTCCTTTTTCATCTGAAAATCAAAGGATTGGTTTTTAACACTGTCAGACCAAGCAGCAATTCCTATTTGGCCTTCATACCAGTTTTTTTTCCATCTGCAGCAATTCTGCTGTTTCATACTGTTAATCCTGGAAGACCTAACATCAAGACCTGAAGTTCCAGCCAAAATAACTTAAAAATGAACAGAGCCTAAAGGCCTCCAGACAAACCAAAAACCTTTTCATAATGTCTCTCTGTCTACAACATCTCTCTGGACTGGGTTGTTTACCATACTAAGGTGTCATGGTAGTGGTTTATTTGACAGTTTTTGTACCTCCACTTGTTTCTGCTGTTCTCTTTTAACATAATCAAGATGTTCAATGTGTCTTGAAAAATACATGTGACGATTGTGAATTTAGACAAAAAAAAATTATTGGGCTTTGCATCAAAGAGATTCAAATCAATTCACATTAGAATTATCCATTTCATATCTGGGAACATCACACTGTTGTTTGTCATTTCAGATTTAACAACAAAAAAGGGGTTTAAGGTATCTTCTCATGAGGATGACCAGTAAAATCTTGGGAGCCTGTCGTTTTTGGTGAACAGACAACCTCACCTTTTTCTGTGGTTCTGTATCCAACTGAGGGTGAATGTGCACAGAATCCAAACATTTTGCTTTACACTAAATATAGGCTGTATCGACCACAGTATTAGGATACACCACCCAGTCTAGAAATTCCCGTGATATGAACTTTATACTGTTAAAGCTTTTCTTTTGTATTTTTTTTTTCTTAACAGACTGACACAGATACAATCTGTTAACATGATATATTGTAGTGCACAACACCAGAGGTCAGTCATGACAACAACTGATACAACAGGCAGGTAGCTGAGTTGAGAAAAATACTGGTGTTGCCAGTGGGGTTACATGACCCGTTTGGGAATATTTGGGGTTCAGATCCAGTGACATAGGTAAACCAGCCACAATGGATGAAGTTGTATTGTGTTTACACATATCACTCTAAGCTTGTCTAGGGTGACCTGTAGATTCCTCTGTGTATGGGATTTATAATAAATTCAGCACAGTGAGGAACACAGTAGCTTTGTCTCGATACTTTGAAAACTGCTGGCATTATATCCAGTGGAAAAACTTGCCACAATATGAGGGGGATAAATGTAATAGATTTTTCTTATGTCTACATATGTCAGAGGTACGGAAGCACTTAATCCTAACAAGAGTTATTTAGGTGAATTATTTCACGGGCTGTAGGCTGCTACAGTGTCCTCCATGTAAGAAAGTGATTGCTCATTGTAAAATGGTAAGACGGTATTAAGGTATGAAACAATAGATAGCGCCAAAGCCTACTTTAGACACAGAAGCACTTACCTTTGGGCTCAGTGGAGTAGAGATGCCGCTGAGATAACAGAAATCTGCGACAGGACAGGAAGTTAGCAGGAGTTCGGCTGATGTTCTGGAAAAAGACCACATTGCCAATGTTAAGGCTAAACAATTAATCAATTTCAAATTTAAAACAATGCAACTACCAAGTCAGTGTCATTTTTTTTGAAAGCCACACCTCGTCACTATGCAGCACGTGTGATTCAGACTTTAAACTAGTTTTACAAATTCTTGCCACCCCACTTATGCGACAGTCATGTTTTTGCTGGTATCTCATGTGGTAATGCCTTATCACATACAGCAATTCCTTCCATCCTTCCATCCATTATCTATACACCGCTTAATCCTCACTAGGGTCGCGGGGGGGCTGGTGCCTATCCCAGCTGACTTAGGGTGAAGACAGGGGACACCCTGGACAGGTCACCAGTCTATCACAGGGCTACACTTAGAGACAGACAACCAAGCACACTCACATTCACACCTACGGACAATTTAGAATCACCAATTAACCTCAACATGTTTTTGGACCTTGTGGGAGGAAGCTGGAGAACCCGGAGAGAATCCACGCTGCAGCAATTCCTTATCAAATTGAATATAATCGAGAAGCAAAAAGCCCATTTAACTCGATGACATGCTGAATGTTAAACTGAACTTTAACTTCAAAACTAATCACCAATCAATTTACAACATCTGCTAAATAAAATCATAACTTGCCAATAGACATTTTCCCATCTCATTCAGCGCTAACTATTAAATGCAGTGAATACCCTCAACCAAAAGCAACCTGAGACTCTGCTGAAAAACAACACATGACTATTATGCAAAGCTGTTTTTGTTTTTTTTTTTTGTTTTTTTTTTTCCACTATGACCTCTAACAGGTAAACAGCCACATGCTGGAGGTCACATATAATTAGCACACCTGACCAGTGAATTCAGAATCATAACAGACTCAGCAGTGGAAATTTTTAAATGTGGGTAACAAGGTCAAAATTAGCCCATAAGGATCTCAATAGTGATTTACTGTATGGCTACATTAACTAACTTTGTATTTTTTGCATACTTTTGCTTTATTGTTTTTAGAAAATTTGGATTTTTTAGAAAATCCAAATGCCACAGTAGGCAGAGTCTTAGACAACAGTGCTTTTCCATTGTTGTGTCAACAGTTTGTGTAATGTCCCTGTGTACAAAGCCTGCTGCCTGACCTCAACTATCATCTATGAAAAGAGAGTGTTTGTTGAAGGCTTCCAATATATGGTGAAAATAATCTTTGTATCAGAGTAGAGGTTGCTGCAATATCATGACAGACCACATTGGTGTAAGATCACATGTTAACTAAGTACTGTATGTATCCTTGTAACATTGCCTCGTGTAGTGTACCTAGCGAATTAGTCAGACGTTCAGTAATCAAATGGTACAGGCTAAACCTCCAAGGTCAAGGTACTCTGCAGTTATTGATTTTTATGTTAATATGAGGCTTCAGCTGTCAGAGTCAGTGTAGTTGGTCTAAGGTCCTTATTCACCTGAATTGTCATCAAAACACCTTATCTTAAAGCTAGATGTCTGTATATTTTAGATGTGTGTTTAGCTTAATTTTCAGTCAGCACTGCTGAAGGAAAACACTGCTTTGATATCCTAGTTTCAGTAAGATACTGGTATGAGGGCTTTACCTAAAAGTCTCTTCTAACAATGGCTACCGCTAGCGTTACATCAGACTGTTCTCTCAGATACACACAGTTTCAGAATGACAGATTTCACTTTAGCTGACAAGCTCGTCCACATGTTTTGTAATTATTTAGTAATAGTAGTGACTTGTCATATAGAATTCACGGTGGTTACAAGACAAACATGTCCACATAAACTGAAATATCACCTACACTCCCCAAAGTCTTCTTAGTTTGTGTGGAGCAGCATGACCACACAGAAAAACACACTAATAACTTACATACTAACCTAGTAGCTTAATTAGACTTATGCCGAAATAAAAAATAGATTATAGGCAGGCAAATAAGACCCTAAATCTTACTCTTATATGGTCCATGACTTTGTTGTTTAGCAAACTAACTCTGGACAAAATCATTTTGCAATGGGTTTTGGCAAGCAGGTAGGCTTGACGTGCTTATCTATGTTTTGGCTCAAAACCTCTAACATACACGTAAAGGAAACTTAGGTGGTTTAGTTTCTGGTGGACTAACACGTTTGTAGCACAAGGCAGAACCTCTACCTTCACCTACCCGGGCAGCGGAGATCGGGTATCCAGTAAAGAGCTGTGCTGTTGATATCGCCGAGAAGCGAGACCTGGCTCCTCCAGTCCGGCAGAAAGGCAGAGCGGCCGCCGAGAGAAGCCTCAGTGCCTGAGACATCCTCTCTGTGGCGCCTGCCCTGTGGTTCAGTCAAAAATACAGCAGTTTTTTGTTAAGTAAACCTAACGTCTCCTCCTGAACTCCATTATAGAACAGTTTCAAGTATTATTGGGTAAGCACAAGCCATGAAATGTCAACGGGAGGACGATGTAAAGGTCCGTTAGACTTCCCTTTTACATGCCTGATAGAAATTTTGCAAGAAGAACGGCGATTTAGTATTTATAATATTTATTTAGATACGCATATTCAGCTGTACTGCCAAACGAACTATATTACAAACTCAATACACGTAAACATATTTGTTTAACTTTAAAATTACGTTATTACGTTTAGGCAACAGAAAGGCCAACAAAGGGTCCTCGTAGCACAAATCCTCCTGATTGGCTGAGACAGAAGACAGCGCTTTCCTCAACCTCGCAGTGACCAAACATGACTGAGCGTTTTTCCACGTGACGTTTATTAGTTTACATGTTAAAATGACGCCATCAAACGTTAAAGATATATCTGTCAATTAACATTGAGTCAGCTAAATCTTAGATGAAGCGAAAGCAAGCTACATAGCACAATACGGGCATGCTGACATTTGGTTGTTGACAAAGAAAAACAAGCAACAAATTCTTTCAATGAAATAGCTGAATCCAGCAAATATGTGATATGTTGACATACCTTCGTGGCAGGTTAACGTAAAACAGTTAAATTATGCCAATGGATGGAATAAGTAAAAACAGAAAACTTAAATTGACTTTCAGTTGTGTTTTCATTTAATTAGGATTTCTGTGCTGAGTGCAGATTCTATGAAACAGACAATGTCATCAGCATTAGGGCTGCAACTACCGATTATTGTAGTAGTCGACTAATCTGTCCATCATTTTTTCGATTTGTCACGATTATTTCTGTCACACCCACCATCTGTGCTTTCTGTTGACGCAGCTCTTTTTACAGGCTCCAGTTTAAGTTTTACTCCACTCTCTAAAGTTGGGTCAGTGACATGACATCCATATTTTTGTGTCCAAGTGGACTATATCCTTCTAATATAATTTAATCATTTCATGACATGTATCACTTTATTCTATGAAACCTATTTAGTTTGAACACATCTTCAAAACTTTCAAATAATTCTTTTTTTTTCTTTTTTAGCTTGTCAGACCCCCGAAATGTCAGGTGGTGCACCTGTCCGTGCAAATATACAGTCTAAAAATGCTATTAAAAATTATATTTTAATGATAAGACATTCAAAATTAAACATGATGGCATTATTTCATGTTTTAGACCTCTTAAATGAACTTGATTTCACAAATAAAAGTAGTTTTTAAGCTGTTGATATTACAGACAATTTGTGTGATATTGTCCTTTCTTTGTAACACAGCCAAACGTGTCAGACAGGAACACATGTGCATGCTTGGATCATGAGAATGTCAAACTCTTGACTGAAGCAGAAAGGTCTTCTAAAAACCACCAGCTGTTGTCCTCAGTTGTGTGCAGTCCAGACAACAAGTCCCGCATGTATTGAGTCTGTGCGAAGTGCTGCTAGAAGTTACAACACCCCAAGCGGAAGAGACTGTGACTTGGCATCAGTGGATAAGAAAACCTGTTTCAGATGAGCATAAGACTTACCTGAATTTTGCGAAAGAAGCACAAGTTGGAATATGTGCTGAGCTGGTCAGCCTTTTCCATTGACAGCCTAGCTAACCACCACTACATCTGGTTGCTACAAGCTAAAATGTGCAGAGCTTTAAAAGAAAGCCTGAGAGAAGATGAAGTTATTGTCCATGTGGATTTTTCAGAGAACTTCTCCAGCAAATTTAATGGTGAGGTGCAATCTTTTCATTTTGGAGGAAGTCAGAAGCAAGCCACAATCCACACATGTGTGGCTTATACAGCAGGTGGGTCACAGTCCTATGCTACCATCTCTGCATCCCTTCAGTATGATGAGAGAGCTGTGTTGGTCCACTTGGAACCAGTGATAAGGGATGTGATGGAGAACTGCAGTCTGTCTCCCACAACATTGCATGTGATGAGGTCCAGTCACCCAGTACCGTGATAAAAAGAATTTCTATTTGCTCAGCATCCTCCCCTTCCTCTCAGGCTTCCAGCAGGTGACTTGGAACTTCTCTGAGAAGTCCCATGGAAAAGGTGCCCCCAATGGAGTTGGTGGTGCAGTCAAGCGCACTGCTGACTCTGCTGTCCAAAGGGGTGCAGATGTCCAGACCCCACAAGACTTTTACCGTCTCCTAACAGAGAGAAAATCTCATGTCAAGTTCTTCTGTGTGAGTGAGGAGGAAATCAGAAGATTTGATAAGGCGGTCCCTGAGGCTGTGCCCCCTGTAAAGGGAACTTTAGCGATGCACCAGGTCATCACCACTCAACCTGGCAAAATCATGCACAGGGAGATCTCCTGCTTCTGCAGCAGACCACACATCTGCCAGTGCCATAATCCCACAAAGGTCAATCTCCAGACAGCCAGTACTCAGGCCAGTGTTCAAGATGACATTGATCTGACCGGAAAGTTCATCTTGGTGACTTATGAAGGTCGGCCATTTGTAGGACAGGTTCTTCAGGTATTCGGGGATGAAATTGAAGTGAGCTGCATGCAGCAGTTAGGAGGAAAAAACGTCTTCACTTAGCCCCACCCTGTTGATGTCATCTTTTACTAGACAACTAATGTGCTCAAAGTGATCGCTGAGCCAGAGCCTCTTAATTCACACCACACACACCTTACGAATGTGGACTGGGACTGCTTTAGTACACACACATAAAATAGATATTAGGCTTGCATTGTGGTGATTGCAGACTACAAATACTCTGAATTTATCACCTTGTGAGCTTGTTTGAACTCCCTTAAAGAGGGGAAGTGAGACAGTGTGCCTTTCTGTAGATGTCTTAGCTTTCACTACCACCTCCTCCAGCATGTGTAGCGCTGTGCCTCCTCTCTCCTGAAGAGTGGTATTCAGCGTGTTCATATTTGCTGTCATGTCAACCATGAAGTGCAGCTTTTCCAGTCACTCTGGCTGTTCCAGCTCGGGAAAGGTGAGCCCTGTGCTGCTCATGAAAGTTTTCAGTTCTCCCAGACATGCAGGAAAGCGTTTCAGCACCTCTCCTCTGGACAGCCATCAGACTCTGTTATGCAGCAAGCGATCAGAGTACGGGCTCTCCACCTCATCCAGTAACGAAGGGAACTGACGGTGATTTAAACCTTTTGCCATTATGTTATGGACAATCTGAGTGACAACATTCATGACCTCTGTGCATTCTGGAGGAGAAGTTTGAGCGCACAATTCCTCTTGGTGCAGGATGCAGTGAAACGTCAGCAGCTTTCTATTCAGTGACTTCTGCAGTAAGGCCACAGAGCCCCTGTGCGCTCCAGTCATACTTGGTGCCCCATCAGTAGCCACTGACACCAGGTGGGCTGTTTTTATTGCTTCTCTTCTTTCTTTTAGTGGCATCAGCTCAACCATGTCTTCCTGTGGTCCAGCAGAGTTCACATATCAACAGAACAATTTGTTCAATGTCACTTTTGTCTTTGGACTCATCACAGGCGATTGAGTACGCTGCAGCTGAACTGATGTCTTCAATTTGCTGTTTTGTGATGTTTTCTGCCATTTTTATGGTTCTGTCTTTGACAGTCTTCGCAGAGAGAGAAGCATCTCTCTGATTTTCTGCACAATTTCACACTTATTTTGAAAGTCCGCGAAGAGGTGTTCTGAAATCTTAATAAATGACTCCTTCATATATTCTCCATCTGTGAACGGCTCCCCGTGCCTGACTGTTTCCTGAGCGGCCACAAAACTGGCATATGTAGGTGAATTTGCAGACTTCATCCACTTCTTGAATAGAATTCTCCTCAGATCAGCCTTCCGCATCAGTTCTGAAACAGCTTTTTTTCCTTCTTCTCCCTCCGGATATTTTTCCGCAAAGGCTGTGTGTTTATTTTGGAAATGTCTTGCGACATTTGACCTTTAATGTTAGCCAGTTTCTCACCACAAATTGGGCATACTGGTAAGCAACTCTCGTCAGAGGTAAATGCAAATGAATCTGCCCAGACATCATTAAATGTTCTATTTTCTTCTGATATTTTTCTTTTCTTACATC